AATATATTTTATTACTTTGCAAGGACAGTTCATGGTAAAGTTAAACAGTACATGAACATAAAAAGCATATGTTAATATACAAACAAAGACAATATTTAATATGTAGGGCAGAACGTGTTGAAGCTCATGCCTTGGTTGGGTCACCCTGTAAGGTGGGGCGGGGCTAACGGCTCCCTGCTCCCTGTGGAACACGTGTTCATGAAGATATGAGCTCATGTCTCTCAGTCGTAGAGACTTTGCATGACGGTGGGCAGGTTCTCCACATCTGAACAGAAGAAAGTGACTGCAGACACTTTGGGATGTTTATCAAGAACAGCCTCAAGACTGACAAACACAGAGCTGCTGCTAAAGCTGCAGTATGTAACGGCTACAAGCAATATGATTTTATTTTTATGTTTTTTACTTACTTGTTAAAACAATGGTATTATGAGACAGATAATCTGTAAAAAATAAAATAAAAAGGCTGCCTCCATCCTGTGGCACTGCAACCATCTACTGAAATACGTCGCTCATTACTGCTGAGCCTGATGTGAATGCTAGGCTAGTTAGCATAGCCACTGATGGTGGCAGATAAATAGGTTTCCTGTAACAGTAAGTTGTTTCTCTACCAATAGCACATTTAGCGGTATGTACATAAGTGTGCTTGACAGCGCTAATACACGCCTCCCAGCTCTGATTGGTTGTTACTGACAGTATTTCTGCAGATGGCAGTAGGACCACAGGCAGGAGACAGAGGAGCTCCAATTTTGTCGCTGATTGTCTCGACATAGAGACAGTTTTAACAAATATGTGAAAAACATATTGTTTCTACAAGTTACACAGTGCTGCTTTATAGACTGATACTCAAGCTCAGAGTCAGGACCACTGGCTCCTGTGCAGGGCGAGGCCGACATGTGGCTCACAGGGTTATCTGACCTGCCGGTAAGACGCTGCTCAGTGACAGACTTGACAGCCTACAGGTCCTGGAAACATTGAGTTCATGTTTCCAGGATCTATGTAATGTATATGACACCTTCTGGTCAGTGATGCGTTTGCTGGTCATTCCTGTAGTGAGGTGGAGCCCCTCTGAGCCGCCCAGGCAGTGGCAGCATCATGACTGCCAGCAGCAGGAACTGATGGCAGGATGCAGTGATTATATGCAAGTTCACCTCAAGACAATAGAATATCCATTAAAAAGATGGTTTATTTCATTGTTTCAGTTCCATTACACAAACAAATTAGTTGGATTTGAAACATTTAATTTGTATTAGAGATTAAGCTTTTCACTGAGCTGAAAAGAATATACATTCACCCACATAGATAAAAATTACATAAGGATGGATTCCAAGTTGTTTTCTATTCATTTTCATGACGGCAGCAAAAAAAAAAAAAAAAAAAGGTATGATAATTACATCAGACCAATAAAAAAGACTTTCTAATCCAGATCCAGTCTGGGCTCCTAAATTACTGCATCAGTGCATTGTAGCATTGAGGAGATGATCCAGTGGTTCTGCTGAAGTGTTCTGTTTGGTACTGTTGGTTCTGGTGTCTCTCATCCCCTACAGACACACCATGGCGTTCAGGTCGGGCCCGTTTGCTGCTAATATATAGTCACTAAAGCAGGTACTGGTACTTTCGGCAGTCGGCAGTTGGGTCGGTACCAGATCCTGCTGAAAAATCAGCTCTATATAGCTTGTAGGCAGAGGGAAACCTAGAGAGCTGCTCTTTGACCTGATCAAGCCCAGTGGATCAGAACCAGATAGATATGCAAACCGTCACTGACTCTGACCTGGACCTCCAAATGAAAAGCAGATTTTAGTTTCAGCTAACCGGACACTGGACCACCGAGCAACCGAGCAACAGCCCAGTTCTTTTTACCATCAGATACTTCTACTGCAGGGGTGTCCAAAGTCGGTCCTGGAGGGCCGGCATCCTGCATGTTTTAGTTCTCTCCCTGGTTTAACACACCTGGATCAAATAATGGCTCGTTAGAGGGCTAAGAGGAACATTGACAAACTGAAAAGGTTGTTACCACCACCAGGGAGAGAACTAAAACATGCAGGATGCCGGTCCTCCAGGACCGACTTTGGACACCACTGTTCTACTGTCTCTGGCTCAGGAGCGCTTTAACACCAGGAATGTGGGAGTTGTAGTCCATGTACTGGATGTTTCTATGTGTGGTGCCTTTAAGGCTCTGACTCCTGCTGCACTTCAAACTCTTCAGCGTTTTTTGTTTCACAATCCTTTCAAGGCTGCAGTCATTCATTTTACTTGAACACCATTTTGTGTACTGCCATGTTTTTCTCCTTCCTCTTGTGAACAGCCAGCTCCTGACCCTCCTGGTGACAGCCAACACCCTCCATAAGGTGGACAGCTATCAGCCTACACCACACATCATGGTGTAGGCTATTCCATTTCACATTAAAAGCCTACTTTTTATTGGTCTTGTGTAATATTCTAGTTCTGAAAACTGGATTTTGGGTTTTCATCATCAAAATGAACAGAAACACACACTAGGGAATGTATGTGTAATGAATGCTATACAATCTTCCATTACTTTAAATTCAGTTACTGAAATAAATTATTATTTTAATGATATTCTGTGGTTTTTGTGACCAGCCAGCCTCAAAACTTAAAAGTTTGAACAATCATCTACTGAGGGGAAGATAAAGTGACTGTGTGTGGAGGAGATGTATGATATGAACTCTACTGATAGCCACACATCGGCCACGTCCTGCAGAAGGTAACCCTCTGATCAAACAGCTGCCAGCTGATTGGGTTGATTGTTTGACGACAGCCGATTGACATCCTGAGGCAACTGTGCCACAAACAGAACATATCAGTGGTACTGAGTGTTGGTCCATTTGTCCCATTCATGTCGCACCTGCCTTCAGATAAGCTCACCGTGTTCCAGTTGCTTCCTTTTCTTCAGTGAGTTTGTGTTTCCAAGGACGAGTGAGCGTCTTTTCCCACAGAGCTGCCAATTGGAATGCAAAGCACACAGCATTTATATAACATCTCTGCAGTGAGCAAGATAGTAGAGTCTTACAGTTACGGCAGTACGACATTCAGCAGAACAGAACGAGGAATCCAGACGGTGGAGTTGAGTCCTAAAGGAAGCGGCGATCAGTCCCAATGCCTCAGGGCCGCTTGACGCTTCAGGGGCAGCTGTGGACATTCTTCAGCTGTGAAAGTTTACCAGCTTACAGAAGATAAAAACTAGCCAAACACAAAAACCAGCACCTCTCCCTTCATCTCTCACCAGGAGAGAGAGAGAAAGAAAAAAAGAGAGAGAATTCCCTCTGTTTCAAAGACATAAGTGTAAGTACTCCTTAACACTGCATATCATTCTTCTGACACTCCGTGCTATTATTCACATTCAAACAAGCAAAAAAAAGAAGAAAAAAAAAAGAATCAAAAAGCTGAAACTGCTCTGGCTTCCCTTATGATATGTATTTCTGAGCCGGGATGGATGGAATGCAGATGGATGTTTGTTATGCGCCTTGGAGACCCAGAACCTGTTGCTGCCTTAGAGTCGACTCGCTTTGCTGCTTCCCATCAAATACAAGAATGAATCAGCACAGGCGGATGTATAGGAGAACAGTGAAAAAACACTTCCATAGTTCAATTTGGAATTTGAAATCATGTTCGTATTTAAATAACTGTCATAAAATTCAAGAGTATACCATCACCCAGGACTAAAACTGAAGCAGACAAAGTTAAAGGATTAGCTCAGATCTTCTGAAGTGGGGTTCTGTAGAGGTTCTGACCAGCAAATAGAAAAATGTTTTTAGTGTCTTCAATGTAATGATTACAGATGCTAGCTAAAGCTTTTAGCTAAGTAGAGGCAGGAGAAAATGGCCAGATCTTTCCCTCCTCCATCCATTGATGATTAGCTGGCTGGGTAAAGGCTGCTATGATTTTTCTTACAACAAAGTAAACAAACTATTTGGAAGTACATCCAGTTTCACAAAATACAGACAATCATCATGAGGCAACTAAAAAAGAAGCACTGGCCGCCACTATTTTAAATACACTGCTGCTTTAAAGAGCCTGTGGGCTAGCTTCCACTGCTACAGCAGATAGCCTGGCTAGTTAGCCGGCTAACATCACTGTGTGATGTTCACTTTGTAACAATAGGAAAACAATAGGAAGGATATAAGAGCTTGGTTCAAATCAATAATTTATTAATATTGATGAAAATGTTCTAGTTCCACTGGCAGATTTTTAAACTTATAACATGTTATAAATTGACAAAATCTGCCAGTGGAACTAGAACTTTTCGTTAATATTAAGGAATTATTGACTTAAAATAAGCTATCTTGTTGAAAAGTTACTGGTAAGTTCATTTTGTCTAATGTGTTTTAAATATTCAGTCTAGAAACGTGGCAAAAATACTGGGTAAGATATTGTGGTTTTGCAGTGTAGGGGACAGAGCTACAGACGTTTGTTTGCTTGTTTATGTGTCAAAATAATAATTAAAAAAATCTATGTTATAGATAACATTAATACAAGACTCCTATTTTACATTTTTCTGTAGAACATAATTTCTAATCATTTGTGGAAAATTTGCCTATTCACAGACTTTTTTGTAGAGGTTATGATCTTAAATATTCAAAATAAAATACCTTGGCGAAATGCTACTTAACACACTATTGACTGGAGTTTACAAAGCAGCTAATCCAGGAGTGCCATTTATTTTCCTGGCACTGGTTGACTGAACCCCTAAGAGCAAAGATTAGGGAGACGGTGAAAGTTAGCTTCTGCTGTAGTGCTAAGACGGTTTCCAATATAGTGCTATATTGAGGTATATTTGGTTTATGAGGTAACAGTAATGAACATTAACTGTTTATTAAGATAAACAGTTATGTTCAGATGGGGCGGTCGTGGTCCTTAACCCCCACCATTACTGGAGCTCCACTGTGTTCAGTATAATTAAGATTAAGCAATTGATTAAGCAACAATAGAAGTTATTATTGCTTTTCTGGTTTAAATTTTTATTACTGTGGTATTTTTTTTTTTTTACCAGTATTCTAAATACTGGTAAAAAAGTGTGATATTATGAAATTGGTTTCATAATATCACACTATTACACTTCAGATGCTTATGGTCATATCTGTATAACCATCAGCATATAAAGTGTAATATTTAACACTTTGGATGGAGTAGCTTTTAAACAAATAAACAATTTCCCTTTTTAGGATCAATAAAGTCTGTTCTATTCTAAGTGATAAATGAAATTCCTTTTAAGCACCGCTGTCACATTTAGAGATTGGAGTTGATTGAAGGCACTTATTAGTGTTTTGGATCAGACTTGACTCTGTTTAGCTCTAAAATGAAGCTCTACTTCACTGAAGCGTAGGCGCTAATATAATCATCAACTTCAGGTGAGATATTTACTACCCACAATCTCTCAACATAACCCCACTTCCCAAAATCCAATCCACTCCTTTAACTGTAACCAGGTGAGACGTGGTAGTGTGCAAGTTTCTTTCTTGTTAATATTTTGCAGCGAAGCCGATGTTTTCCTTTTAGTTCTTCAGTGGAAATTCTGCTTCATTTTTTTTTTTCCTTCAGCAAAACAGACTTTAAAACGAGATTCAGTCACTTTACTGTCAACAAAGAAGTGAATATGACTCTTTTCAAAATGAAAAGGTATTGCTTTCAGTTAATGCATTAAAAAATATCATCTGTGCTGAAATATGGATTACCACATCGGAGCTGATGGGCCCTGAGGCAGTGGAGGGTCTGGGTCCTTCAGGAGGACATAACAGTGTCTTTTCTCTTATGGTTCAGCTTCACATGTGACCTTGGCTGTGGAGAAAGGCAGCTCTCCAGGATCATGTTTTAGTTTCAGAGGAACCTCCTAACGCCTCCATACCAGCTCAGTTGGATTCGCCTCCCGAAGGAAGCGTTTACTCAGTTGGCTGTCTGGAGGGGTCAGAGGTCATCTGGAATCTCCTTTTGCATCGTTAGGTAAAGCTTACACAGTCAGGTCAGAAGAGCAAGGCAAACATTTGGAGTGGAGCTACCGATCCCACCCCAGTGTGTGCTTTCTGTGTTAGCTACAATCATCCGGACCCAGGAGGCCCGGTGTTCCGGTATTTAGTGTGTTTAAGGATTGCATTGCTCCCGTGTTTCACTGGTTCAAACAAGACACTTTATGAGGGAGGAAGGTGAGATGCAGAGCTCTGTTCATAAGGCCACAGCAGAGCTCCGGCGCCGTCGACAGCAGCAGATACACACTCATTAGGCCGACTTCATTCTGGGAAATATAAACCAGCTGCAGGCTGATGTCAGAATGGAAGGAAAAAAAAACCCAGTTTGATCACTGAGGCAGAAACAGTTACTATGAAGGCAGACCAGAGTTTTGGGTTGGATCTGGCTGGAACAATGACCTAGATTAGGAATAGTCCTAAATCTCACCTGATTTGTTTGTTTTGCAATAATAAAAAGAAGTTATCTGATTTTTACAGTTGAGATAACTGAATCCTTCCAGGTGAACATAGTTGAATCATTCAGCCCTGATATGAAAGGTTTTATCCCAGAGAATCATCAGCTGGTAACCAGAACCAGATGATCTTCAGATTGATCGGCTGTGGTCAGCCTGTTAGAAATCCATCCGTACTCTGCGTGGTGTGGATGTTTCTACTTGGAGAAGAGTCAAACATTGTCAGTTAGTTTCAGATTGTTGTTGTATGAAGCTGCATAAACATTAAACAGCGCTCTCCAGGCAGAGATATAGTGACTAGAAGTGAACTAATAAACAGTCTGGTCCATAAATCAGATGACTGGCAATCTGATGAGCTACTGTCAGCCAAAGGGGTCACATCTGCATGTTAGCGGTTAGCAATACTCGCCCCACTGTTGACAACTTAGAAACTTTGTCTCTATATTTAGTGACTCTTCAGACAAAAATATTGGTATCGGTCAAAATCGGAATCGGGAGGTGAGGATTTTTATAGATAACTGCAATCGATGGAGCTCTAGTAGGATGAAGTCTGCAGTTCTACTAGGATCTAAGACAGAGCAAGACTTTCAGCAGATAACAGGAAGGCTGAACAAAGACTGTGTCCTCTTTCTCTTCCAGCCTGTGCTGTCATTGTCAAGGAACATGTTGGGTCTGGGAATATTTGTAGGATTTCAGAAAGTTAATGTCTGAGTTCCTATGGAACACATAGAGGGCTTCATTTCTAATGCTAACCATGCAAGCTGCCTTCATTGCATTTTCCTAATGCTAAAGACAAGTGCCTCTGCTGCTGCGCTAGCAAAACATTTCTGTTCCTATTATAGTTCTCAGAGACAGCTTGGAATCGTTAGCAGCCTTTTTCAACAGGTCAAAACTTTACAAAAAAATAGATTTTGTTTTTTTGTGAAGTCAGTAACAAAACATAAAGTGCAAGAATTGTGTCAGATTTTAGCCTCTTGTCTCGGTTGTTTTACTGGGCAGACAGCCTCAGTGTGTGTGTCTGTGTGTGTGTGTGAATCTGCTCGCTCAGGTCTGACCCGGCCGGTCTGATGAGTGTGTATCAAAGCCTCTGCTGTTTGCTTCCCTCCCTGAGGAAACAGCTGAACGGACTCAGCTGCAGGTATGGAGGGAAGCGCTGCATTCTGCCGGTGTGGATGCACACTCATCCATGAACAACACGTCACGTAACACTAAAGAGCAGTTTTAAATATACAAACAGATGGAAAATGTCTGACTTCAGTCATATCTATGTGCATTAACATTCTAGATATTTTTTTTTTTTAAAGAACTTAAAATTAGTTCTGCTTTAAACTTTGAAAATAATCAACACGATGGGACAAGCACCACAAAACTCATCCTACAAACAGAGGCCTGACCATACCATGGTATGTACAGTGTGTGTATGCCAGCAGTACGACTGATGGACAGAGATGACGGAGAAACACAGAGAGAGAAATCGTTATCAAACTCCCGTCATGCAGATACGAATTTACACAGGAGACCTGAGGAGTATCATCTGTGGTGTTTGGGGAGGCCCCCAAGGGCCCTCCTCCTGAGTCCTGACCCCAAACTACAGCTCCACTCACAGCCAAATGCAGAGCACTCATCCTTTGAGGCCTCTGTGTTGTTTTCTTTTCGAGGAGAAAAAATTTTGAGTAAATTGGAGAGAAAAATAGAAGGATTTAAAGTTAATGTTACACCAAGCAAAAGAGAAGGAATAAAGAGGTTATAGAGGGTCAGCTCCTTGTTGGCTGATCTTTTTGTGCAAAGGAATGTCTGAACGAGTTAAAGAGACACCTGGTGCCTCCTAGGGCTCGGTGCTGGGTGGAGGGGGCGTGGCCTCGTCGGGGTCCGAGGACTCTGGCGACTCGTTGTCCTTGGTGCTGGGACTGGCCCCGGCCTCAGTGGACGTGCTGCTGCTGCTGCTGCTGCTGATCTGACCGTCCTGACCCTCTGAGTTTTCCAGCATCTCCTGGATGAGAGGGGGCATGGAACCTGGAATTTCCATCTTCAGAGAGATGACTCGCTCGGCTCCTGGAGGACAGCAAGCAGAACAAGACCACTTTAAAACTTTAAACACCAGTTCAGCTAAACGGAGTTTACAGTTTAGTGGCTGAACTTCATTGTTGTTGCATTGCATAAATACAAACTGTGGAAGGACCACAGTGGTGGTTCTGTTGGACCTCAGTATTGAACCATGACATATTACTTGAACCACTGGAGAGTTGTGCTGGACTCTCCGGTCCAGAACTCAGCTGGTTTGAGTCTTACATAAAGAACAGAGATTTCTTTATTTCAACAGGAAATGTCTCATTGAAGTTAACAGAAGTCATATGTGAGATACCCCAAGGTTCAATCCTAGGACCCCTCTTAATATCTATATGCTCCCACTGGCTCGGGTTAAAACAGGAAATAAGATTAGCTACCATATTAGAACAGATAAATATGTGGATGTGTCATAACTTTCTCCAGATGAACAGACACAAAACTGAAGTTATTATCTTTGGACCTAAAGAGGAACGATAGAGTCAACACTCAGCTTCAGTTTTACAGATAGAAACTAGCGATCAGACTGAAATCTAATCTCTCAGGTCAGAGTTCATCACTCTGACCTGAACCTTCAGAGACACATGAAGACAGTTGCAAAGTCAGTCTTCTATCACCTGAAGAACATTTCCTTGACAAAATGTAGTGTCTGTTACTGGTTTTCACAATTGTTGACTACTTGATACATTTATGATGTTTTTATGTTTTCATGATGTAAAACACTTTGAACTGCTTTGTTGATGAAACGTGCTATGCAAATAAACTTGACTGATCGGTGCATTAAATTTGAGCTCATACAGTTGGATGTGAATCCAAACATGTCTACCTCTACAGACTGTTACTGGACTCCCAACCATCTCTGCTGCATTTCTAGGCCTGATCCTTTCACCGTCCATCAGATGTCGATGGCCTTCCTACCTTTAGCGCTGATGCTGCGCAGGTCCGTGATCTTCATCAGGGTTTTGGGGAACATGTGTGGCTTGCTGGGTCGGCGCTTCCTCACATAGATCTTCAGAGCCTCCAGCAGTGGCTCCTGGAGCTGATCCACCTTGGAGGGTTCCTCCAGATCCTGGCGATCTGATATACACACACAAACACACACACACACGGTCAGCCTAGAGACTTCTGTGTAACAAGTTAATGTCTACTATATGATCAAAAGAGATTTTTACCAGTCTAATCATTAGGGTTATTCATAGTAAAACACACAACATTAATTTTTCAATAGAAAATTCAGCTTTTTTTGTTTGTTTGTTTTAGCAACAAATATCAAAACTCTTTCCAACTGTTACAGCTGACAAAATGAAGTAGTGTGAAGTGATGTGAATGTCTGACTTCTGGAGGAATCAGGCTTTACAATAATATATAAAACAGTTCTAAAATCTTTCACCTGGTGGCGCTGGGGTCATCCTGTTGCAACAAGGAGGTCCTGCTGGGTTCAATATTTGGAGTGAAGTCTAAGATTTATTTTTTCATCCCTCCCACAGACTGGACCTAAGCTGTACCTCAACTGGCCAGGAGGTGGCAGTGTGTACTCTGGAATCCGATAGTGTTGGCCCCGCTGTCAGACAGTGCAGTCAGAGGTGTGGTTTACTTTTCATGGATTATGCAAGAGCCTGTAATGTTTTCCCAGGCCTGAGTAAAAGCGGAGTGAGCCCAGCGGAGAGGGAGACTGATCTCCTAACAAACTGACAGGCAGGAGGGACAGATAGAGGAATAATGAGACACAAATGTGTTCAACTCTCCAGTGAAACTTTGTGCGACTGAAGGAGAAGGACTTCTACTTCAACATTAAGGCATGTGCATTCTGACATGATGGAGGGACTCATGCTCTGGTTTTCCTCCTCAGACTGCTCTCCTGCAGCCAGCTGACTGATGCAGCTGTCTCATACCTGCTCATCCTCTCCACCTCCCCTCTCCTCTAAGTAACAGCAGCTGATTTTTAGTTCACTCTATCCAAAACCTGGCTGCAACTTCACTCTGTAGTAAATGGAGGAATCGATAGAGGCTCCATCTGAGTTAAATAAAGGGCAATCCAGCACTTTGAACTGGAAGTGAATTAGCTCATTCTTTCAGGATTTACTTATTGTCCTCAAAACAGGTTTTTGCTAATGATGCGGTTTAATCAAGCTGCAGACTGTTTAAAGTTTGTTTCAGACTGAACTAAATTAATCTGACAGGTGGGATGAACAAAGCAGTCAGACCCAACCCCTCACCCACACCCTGGGTTCCTCCACCTTCCTCCACCCCAGCAGCCGATTTGAACATAAATTTGAAAGACATTTCCCACCAGACTGGTTCCACTGTTACGAAGCTTCCGACAGTCACAGATGTTTTCTGGCTCCTGGTAAGTTTCTACTCGACTCAGGATTAATTGTTGATTAATGTTTATTTGAGCAAAATGAGTTCCATTGGATTAACTAATAACGTCCACCAGAAGAGAGCGCCGCTGGTCATCCTTATGTTGATTCAGTTGATACAGAAACAAAGATGGCGCGAGATCCCAGAATGGCAAAATAATACAGTCTAAACAGACCCCGGTGTGGGATTGAAAACGTTCTTTATGCCGTTTTAAAATGTACACACTTGACAAGCTCCTTAAGTGACACCTTAGTAACACTCACTCAGCCGAGCTGCATGGCGGAGCAGCGTCTGCTTCCCAACCAAAAATCAATGAGGCAAGGATGTGATGACAGAAAAGTGGAAAATTAAAACGTGTTGGAAAAAAACCTGATGCCAATAAGCATGGCTGATTTTGACTGTTATGAGTTAATGTGCAAAGTTGTAACATTCTATCTAGAGCAACCATGACGACCAATGAGAAGGAATCTGAACTGGAACCAAGACTAACAGCACAAAGTGTGGCTCTGACCTCTGACTGTTGCCCGACCGGACAGCAGAGAGCTGGATCAGGATGGACAGTACAGGCTGCCGTCCAGATCATGGGGGCTTATGGGTTCCATGTATTTTATTAATTTATTTTTCTGTTCAGCAACCTAAGAGGTTCCAATAAACTTATTTATAAATATGTCTGAGTTTTATAATGTGATAAAGCCACACTTTTCTGTTTATTCAGTCAATTTTTAATACACCTGCACAAAAATTATAGAACTATAATGATATGCTTCGTTTTTTAAAAGTCAGCATTTTATATAAAATGCATTCCTTCGAGTTCTGGAAAGTCAGTCGACCCTCCTGATACACGAGAGAACTCAGGGTTTCAAGAAAGTTTCCGTTTATCAATTAATTTCTAGTCGATTGATAAGATCAATCAATTTTAGATTAAGTCATCAATAACTTGCATACCTACTAAAGGCCCACTCACTCACAAGATACTTCAAAGTGTTTTATAGGAAGAACAAATTAACATGGAAAAAAAGATTGATTCATCCAGAAATGGTTAAAACCTGAGACATGCTCACCTAAAGGAAACACTTTAAAATGACAAAATTTCAGCAAGCAGAAAAGCTACAGCCGAATAGAACTGATAAATCTGGTTTAAAGGAAGAAACGGTTTGCCCCAGAGCTGCTGAGCCCAGGAACCAAACGGAGCCTCGTCTTTCGTTCTGGTTCTGGGATCAGGGAGTGAAAACCTCCTGGTTCTCCATGGCTCATACTCAACCAGCAACACCAGTCTGGGAGCCAGTAGACTCATGTAATGTGAGCCAGTTTCCTGGTGTTGGTCAGAACTCTAGCCACAGCATTTATTAAACACTTTACTGCATCAAATCAAAACTAGAGAGGTTTCATAAGAAGCGTTGAGTTCTGGTCTACAAACCTCCTGAGATGAGACAGATGGCGCTGAGAAGACCCGTCTCTGTGTCGTCCATCTCAATGGGCAGCAGCTGGTTGGCAAAGGTGAATACCAAGTCAGTGAGCGGGCCGAAGCCAGCATTGTGCATCTGTGTCCGATTTAGGGTCAGTCCGTCTGAAAAGGTCATGGTGTCCTGGTCAGGAGTGTACCGTGTGCAGATACGCAGGATCTGAGGGCGAAGGAAGGGAGAGGCAAGGAAATGGTCAGAACAAGCTCCATAAACAGGAAACTGAACATTACATATTTATATAACGAGATAATAATTACATCACATCAGACAATCGTTGACTCGTGACATGTTGCTGCAATTAAATGAATCAAAATTTAAGAGTAACCACAGAAAATAATCAGTCACTAGGAGCAACAAGAGGTCATTGATAACGCAGCTGGCTGCATCCAAGTACAGCAATGGAAAGTTTTAGAGGAGGAAAATCATGTGGTAGGAAAATCTGAACACGTTCTGTAGCTGAACCAGGTTCTGGGCAAACCTTCAGTTAGCTTGCAGGAATATGAAGCAGATTCAGTTGTTTTTATCGGTTTCTGTCCCCTTAAACATACAAGAACATTTATGGGAATATATAATAAATAAATGAATAAAATAGCTTATTATATTAGCTGCATACCCACAGGGTGGCACCCCCCTCCCACACACACACTTTTCTAGGAAGGCAAAGTAGAAGACAGCACTCCCCTGTCTCACATGTGCAACCAATGAGGCTCTCATATAGCATGTAGCATAGCCTAACGCTAGCTGCTTTAGCAACCAGAAAACCTCGGAGAAGCAAAACAGTGACCTTCCACTAACCCCTGCAGAATCACCTTGCTCTGACTGTGTGCTTGTGTTTGAGTGTATATGCATGTGTGTGTGTGCACCTAATAATGCAGCTGATTGTGAGCGTGGAGCCTTTGAAGCGGTTTGAGTGGGCTGCCTCTGACAGTGAGTGACAGGCGTGTCTGCAACATGAAACAGAATAAAACATGGCTGCTGGCGGTGGCTCTCACCGGCTGGCCAGGCCTGCTCCCAGACACACTCCGGCTCTGTCCCACACATATACATCCATACACATTTGTTTGATCTCTCCTCTGATACGCCCCTCACCCAGCACAATGGCTGCGTCCTTCACCATGGAAATGTGCTGCTGAACAGATGATGATGGCTGAGCGACAGCCAGAAAACCATCACAGTCGGCCTTCAACTTCTCAACCCCGCGTCCCGGTCTTTCCCTCCACCACTGCTTCGTCTCATCAGACACTAGGACCAGGTCAGTGTTAGCTCCCAGACCATCCGTCAGCATGCCAGTGCCTGGACGACCAGACCAGGTCAATAAAAATCCATTTTCAGAATAACGTTCTGTGCATGTGCTGCCAGTTTATCCAGAGTGGGCTCGTTTGTTTGCAGTTCCATTTATCATTAAGAAACATCTTTGTGAATAATTTATAGATTTTATTGTCAGCGGTTTCACAGCTCTCTTACAGCAGTGTGAAAGCAGACTGGGTTGACATCCTCTCAAAACATGCATGTGGTGTTATTTACGGTTCTTTTCAGGCGTTTGATGCATTTCGCTGAGCAGAAGTTCAATTCTCATAACTGTTAGTTCAACCTCCACAACATTTACTCATCTGTGCTCACCACTGTAGCAGCTTCTCATTTATTCCAAGAAATTTCCAGTGCTTTTGCACATCTGTATTGTCTCTGTACATTTATCTACTGTAAATGCTATAAAACTAATAATCTTCTCTTCATTGGTTTAGTTCTCGCATACAAAAATAAATAACAGGTCAAAATTTGTCAAGGTAATTTCTATTAATTTCTTTAGCAGCTTTCTCAGAAAACTTATCCCAGTTTGAAGGATTTCTTTCAGGTGAATCTCACCTTTCACTGATCAGGAGAATTGTGTGAAGCATTAGTTTGTTGTAAGCAATGACAAACATGAATCCTATGATTTAGCTCTAAGTGACGTTGTCTGCACCGTTTCAGTTTAGATGTGTCAGAATGATTCACAGTATTATATGTTGTTTCCTCCAATCAGCCCTACTCAAAACATGTTTGTGTTTGTTGTACTGTGAACATCCATCCATCCATCCATCCATCCATCCATCCATCCATCCATCCATCCATCCATCCATCCATCCATCCATCCATCCATCCATCCATCCATTGATTGATCGAGGCCCAGACTTCTCTCTCCCCAGCCACATTTGCCAATTCCTCCAGGGGAATCCCAAGGTATTTCCAGGCCATTTGTTTTAGATGATGCATCCATAACTATATGTGTTGATAATAGAACAATTCATGTGTCTTCTGATATTTTAGATCAAGTAAATATGGCTGTACCATAAGAGCTACTGTCTATTTCTGAGCGGGTAACCATCTGGTTCTTCAGTCACTACTCACAGCAAACTGTACAGTGAAAATATGAAGCATCATATTCACTGTTTTGTGAACAACATGTGCTACTATAGGTTTCAAATGGCTGCGCAAATAGTATCTGTCATGAGCATTTTCAGGTGTTGTCACCAATATCAAACGTTTTTTACTCAGACATGAAGAGAGTGGACTGTCATAATGAAAACATGTTCAGGTTTTGGCTGTCTGGGTCACAAACATGCTGTCAGAACTTTTTATTTTGCTGAAACTTTCATTGAGATGGAAACTTTTTTCTTTTGAGGAATGAATTATCCATTCTCAGCACGTGGCTGACTTTTGCCAGCTATGGTTCGGGTTTTGCAGTTTGTGTTATTTGTTTAGAGAAATGCACCACAATGCTTGAAAAAAGATGGCCTGGCAAAACTATCCTAAACCCTGGTATTTCACCACCTTATGTGATATTTTTGCGATCTTATGTGACAGAGCAACACAAAGTAGTGCATTACTGCAAGGTTAAAAGGGAAACACAAATAAAAATCTGAAAACTACAACCTATTAGAATCCAGTAGAACCACTTGTGTTCAGAGTCACATAAACAGTAAATAAATTCTGCTGAAGGATGAGATCATGATCTCAGACCTTTTCTGACTCAGTCACTCCTGTCGGCCAACCAGTTGTCCGCCTTTCCCTTCCTCTTCATCTCTGTCCTCCTCTCTCTTGGCCATGACATTTATAATGAAACATTCACATGGAACACAACTTTGCACCTTGGATACACGATGTTGCATATTGTTACTTTATATTTTAACCGTCCTGTCTGAACCAGAGGCCTCCACTATCCTCAACAAGCATGGAGCCGAGGCTTAAAACTCGTCTTCAAAGTGGCCAGGGGTTTTTATTCTCTCTTTCAGAGTCTTTTGCCGGCTTTATCTTGAAAAGGGGGGCATTCTTCTTTTTTAAAGCCACGGTTATGTTTATACAGTTAAACTGCATAATGCACTTCCCCACATCACAGGAAGCACAGTGTTCAAAAGGTCGGATACGTTTACACCTCTATTTCATCTGCGGCCTCTTCTAGACAGCGACGTGTTTCTGAGCCTCTGGAAGTGTCACCTTGAAGTCTGAATGAGGCTCTTAAGATTTTCTTTTTTCAACAAATCTCACCAACATTTGCATTTCGCTTTGAGCAGAAGCAAAACTAAACATATTGCCATATAGCAGACACTTTCTCTTTTAACGGAGAAACCCAGTCTCTCTCTGAAATGTCCAACCTGATTTAGGTATTCATTTCCATTCCATGATAAGAAATATTTCAGTAGATGTTAGCATCACTGCCCTACACATGCACACGTTTACCTGGGACAGCAAAAAACAAGAATACTAATTAATATAGAGCTATTGTATATGTTTATGATATACATTTTTGTGACATGACTGACAAAAGAACTCAAGGCGATTATAAAATGTCAGTGTATAAACACAGCTTATACATTATGATCTCAGAATGATAGCATAATGCATTTTACGTCCAGATCCAAAACAATAAAAATGACCTTGATTGTTTCTAAAAATAGAATAGAGCCCTAGAGGTCAAAAATGTAAAATGCATAACAAACCTGTCATCAGTGTTTATACGTTCTCCCTCCTCCCCCCGTCTGTGCAGTGAATGTTAAATACCCCACCTGCCCCCACCGTCCTCCCCCCTCCACCTCCCACTCCAGTATGCATGACAGAAACAAGAGGGGAAGAGAATCAGCCATTTGCCGTTTTCCATCTCATTATTGCAGCTCCATTACTACAGCATGTCGCTTCACTTAACAACTGCTAAATGACAAACAATCACCCAGCAGCCTGCAGACATTTCCGCATCTGTGCTCAATAAAGAACACACTATCATTAACAAACACAGAGCCACTGACTGGTCATCAGTGACAATATAAGAAACACACACACACACACACACACACACACACACACACACACACACACACACACACACACACACACACACACACACACACGCAAGCCATCTTAAAAATTTAATCAGTTTAGTCAGAGAAAATGCTCACTACAGACATCTACTCTCCATAAAGTTTTGAATCGACAGACGTGGTGAGTAATCTGACGTGTCTGATTCCGGCTGGTCAGCCCAGACAAACCCCCAATCAGGACGGCCTGATGGGAGCTGAGTTGGATGATAAATGGCGTTTCCTCTGGAGAGCTAAGCAATTAACTCAGAATGCTATTTGAAGAAATGAAAAGATTGTTTCAAATTGAGGGAGAACAAGAACCTTAATCAGTTCAGTTAAGTTCAGTCAGACAGAGGCAGTTCCCTGCAAAGGTCACATCAGGGCATCACACTAAAACCAGAGCCATCTAGTTTAAATCCCATTGTTCATATAGTAACTCAATTCGATTCTATGCAGTCCATTCTAGTGCAATCCCCTGTGAAGTGTGGTTCAAACTTGCAAATACTGTACTAATAATTGTTGTTAAAGTAAGTTTATCTTACTTTCTTGTGAAAAAAAAAAGTTGCCAAAGTGACATTTGAGGGAGAATTCCGCTTTTACAGATTGGTTGCATCCTTAAAAGCTATTTGTCAGTCTGATCCAATCAGCAAATACAGATAGATGAAGAAACATATGTCAGCTAAAAACACTTTCTAACAGTCATGCAAACTGTTGTCTATTTTAACCAAGCAATCAGACAAATGGTGCATCTAAATAGTTTTTTTTGTCGATAGTTAACTATCTTAGGCTCCCATTTACATGGAGCCGCTATTCAAATAAACCAGTTGAGAC